GTTTTTCCAAGGACAGCCTTCTAGAGACATTTGATAAGGTCTTCTCACTAGTTACTGACTGCCAAATTTGTTTTAAAGGAGGAATAAGGCAGAGAAAAACTTAAATGTACTTAACATATGAATATGCACACATAAGATTATATTTTAGCTTTCCAGGATCATAGTATAGTACTACAATTGAAATAAATAGGGTTTACTTTGAAGTACATTCTTATGCTATGAATAATGACAGAATATTACATTATTCTGGCCATATGGAAGTCTTATGCATCTGATGGCCTTTAGGATGGGGACTGTAAAGTATTTGGTGGTGATGGAAAGCTTCTCCAACCTACTAGAGACTTGAGTAATATTACACTTTCCTCAGGGGTGGGTTGCTACCGATTTTACTACCAGTTCGCAATGCCTGTGTATGGATGCACTGTTCAATGTAAATTGTTCTTCGCGCACGCGCAGAACAATTTAAATGAACTGTGCACGTGCAGTCATTAAAAAACAAAATGGCAACAGCCCTATGGCAGAGAGGAAAAGAGGCCTGGGTTACTGCCGGTTCTGCGACTTGGGCCTGAATTCCACTACTGGTTCGGCCGAACCAGGCCAAACCGGGAGTAACCCACCTCTGGCTTTTCTATTAACAAGGAATGTAAAATATGTTTGATAAGAAAAAATTATATATACATAATTCTCAGGAAATATATATATCTATATGCATGTGTGTATATGAGACAGAATGTATGGCTATGGTTTCTGGAAGATTGTGTGAATCATGTTTTAATGAACATACTATTCGTCCGTAATGTTCTCTTTTTCAATCCCCCCCCAAAAACCCCTATTCATTCTGTTATTGTTCCTTTAAAACAATAGGTAAAACATTTTGCTTTCACATGGGGGAATTACCAGATTTTCTTTTCTTTTCTTTTTTTAGTTTCATGTTACTTTGTAGACAACATTCTAATCCTATAATGGTGTCTTTGAGACTTTCAGTTGATTCTGTATTTAGTAAATCACTTTCAGTTTGATTGTTCTTCCACCATACAAAGTACTACATGGATTATGGTATGATGCACAAGATAAAATGGTATGCTTAGAAAGAGACACATAGCAGGTTGCTGCAAAAAAAAAAGTGTTTCTAAGTTTTATAAACTCAAAAATATTGTCGCACTTATGGCACAGGCAAGCATAATATAGGTACTCATTGACCTTCAACCATAATGGAGCCTGCCCATTATGATTGCAATTTGTGGCAGTCATTAAGCAAGGTGCCTATATGATCTATGACTGTTGTGGAGCCCTGCAGGCCATAGGCCTGTTTCCTGCATTGCTGTGGCCTTGTATGTCTTGGGCCCACACCCTTCTCCACAACCCACATTATGGCTGGGTCCAATTCTCTTTTAAAAGCCTGTGAGCCATTACGCTGTCTTTCTACATGGAAGCCATGTGGCATCGTACATGAATTAGGGCCTATTTTGGGGCCAGTCACAATTCAACTTTACTGTACTGTACAGGGAGGCTGAATGGTGACTCTGCCAGCTACCCTTGCAAGTGGGAGCAGACAATATTTGAGTGGTACGATGAGCAGAGTCAATTGCTTTTAACTTCACCATTCATTCTCTCTTTTTTTATTGTAGAGGCAGAATCTTTTTTGCCTTTGCATTCTCGCTCTCTCCTCTACTTCCCTTCCCTCACCAATAACTCCTATGTAATGAAGATGGATATGGAAGTCATTTTTACTATAAACTAATTGTAGCCTTGACACACATTGAGTGAATCTGTGCTGTTATCTTTCAGTGTCACCAATCTGCTCAAAAAAAAAAAAGCAATAGTACCTGAAATATTGATGTATTAATGCTTTAAATGAACATTAGCTTTAAGGCTGTTGAAGAAAGTATGTTATTAAGTAATTTGGAGCATCCCCATTAAATTTAGCAAGTTGATGCTCCCGACATTACCTTAGAATTGATATTAAAACACATGCTTTTTTAAGAAAAAAAAACTTGCCCTTAGCTTTTAATGTCCCCAATAGAATTTCAAAATAAATGAAATTTATTGAAATCCTGAAATTAGTTAAGCCTAAATATGGTCATATATCACATGCCAAACATATATCATGGCATTCTGCTGTTTTAAACACACATAAATCACTTTTACAAAGTCAAGGGAAGTGAATGAAGATGAGTTGGCTGTGAAGAAACATTTTTCTTATTGTGGTCTGGTAAGATTTAGATTTAATGGGAGCATTGACCCTTTCTAATCCAATTAAAATGCCCCATCCCAAAAGGCTTATCAAGCTTCCTGGTTTTCTTAGGGCTCTTAAACATATTCCTGCCTTTTGGCAGGTAATTTTGTGGCATGGGGACACATGTTTGGGTACATATACAAAATAGTGAGATAGCCAGTTTGGTGTAATAGTTAATAGTTAAGACTAGAAACCAGGAGTCTGAGTTCTAGTCCTGCTTTAGAGTAAGCCAGCTTGATGACCTTGGGCCAGTCACTTTCTCTCAGCCCTATAAAGGAGGCAATGACTAACCCAGTGATGGCTAACCTTTTCGGCACCAAGTACCAAAACTGAAGCACTGGAACCCAGAAGAGAGTAGCTAGCTGGTGCCCATTTGCATGGCGGCCAGTTGCTCTTCCGGGTTCTATTGCATACATGCGTGTCAGACAACTGGTTTGGCGCACATGAGCACTGGCCAGCTGCTCTTTCCCAGCTTCCTGCGAGCACATGTGCGCCAGCCAGCTGGTCAGCACATGTGCATGGTGGAACCCAGAAGAGGAGCTGGCCATCATTCATGCCAACAGAGAGGGCTCTGCGTGCCACCTCTGGCATGTTTGCCATAAGTTCATCATCACAGGACTGACCATTTCTGAAAAACCTTGCCAAGAAAACTGCAGGGACTAGTCCCTATGCAATTGTTCTGAATCATGAAATCCCAATCCATATTATTTGCAAGATTTTCTGTGTCGTAGTAAACAATTTGCTTTTTCAAATCTGATCTTGGTTATCATTTATATTTCTGCAGATATTATTACATTGCTTTCAAAGCACATAAGAACCCTTCTCCAAGCAAAGAAAACTGCATCGCTATTCTTCAAAAGGCCAAGTTAGACAAGTGGGCTCTTGGGAAAACAAAGGTAGGATAAATTCAATTTCAAATTTCTTGGAGCAGAAGATACAATCACAAGGAAAGTCCTGTAATATTTAGTAGTGTTGTGCAAGATATTCAAACTAATGTTGTCTTTAAAAACCATTCTGTACAATCTAAGTCTAAAAGCTGGTTATACTGTACTTCTTGCAGTATAGTCCCTTCACTTAAAAGACACGGGACACTGCTTTTCAAAAGACATGGACCTATACCCTCATCAGAAAATGGAATTGTGTATTGTGGTCTATTGGCATTCTTGAGGAATCTCTTCCCTTTTTATGTGACAAATATTTGAGAAATAATAGTCTTTCTGGGATGCTAACCCTTGAAGTAAGGGACATTCTCAGATGCAATTGGCAGTGTGCAATAAGGGCCAGTGCTACAAACAAGGGCCAATTGGTAGATGAATGTAATGTCACATCTAAGAGTTCATTCACACAATCTGTTTGCTCTGGCATGGATGTTCCTCCACCTATCATATGATGAGGACATGTCCTCATCAGTGGTGGGTTTCCATTATTTTTACTACTGGTTTGCTCGTGTGCGTGGGCATGCTCTCATGACACTTCTGCACATACACCGGTAGCAAAGGTAAATGGATTTCACCCTGATAAAGGATATGTGGTCATTATATCTAAGAGACGAAAATTCTATGTAGTCCAGCATCTCTTTTCCTAAATATATTTGGGAAGTCAGTAAAGGGGAACAAATGGCACCAGGTGTTTCTCTTCTACCTTCCCCCAAGCAATTGATGTCCACAGATGTGCTACCTTTGAACCTTGAGCTCCATTTGACTTTCATGACCAATATCCCATAATAATGCAGTGCCTCTTGTAAAAATGATTTAAGCTGTGACTTTCCACATATCTTGAAACTTAGGTAAGAGGTTTCAAATAATCTCAAAGCATCCTGAAATAATTCCAGCCTATAACTATTGCCTTTCCTATTTGAATTAATATTTCATGATTTGGTTTAGTTTTGTTTTGAAATGATGTATGACTATCTTGGCTCTTCGGAGCAGAAGCGTTGAATTCATTTAATTTTTTTTTAAAGCTTTGCAGTCACTGCCCAAACCACCTAGATATTGCATTATGTACTAGAGCCTGGACATCAAATCAACCTGCTATCACTTCATGCAAATGTCTATGCTACATCCCTATTATAAATAGCCTAAAGATATTTTTTTTCCATTAAGAGTTACCTCAGTGGCAGTCTGGCTGACAAAATGGTATATATATATATATATATATATATATATATACACACATACATACATACANAATAAATGGACTTGATTAAAACAAAGGTATTGGGATCAAAAATTATATTTGTCTATATCTTCTACTTTCTTTTTTAAAGTCAACCTCAGATCTTAGTGTTGGTGGATATGGTCATATAATTTTCCTGGCCACAGTAGCATACCAAGGGCAACTGCTTTGTCTGATGACTTGGAGATAAAAAGGAGAGACTTGGGGGCATCCAGAGGGTCAGCAGTGGGTGTGGAAACAGGTTTCTGGTTGTGGCCCAGCAGGTGTAAGTGTGAAAAACGGGTGTAAGTCCCTTTTTGCAGAGTTTTGTAACTTTGAATGGTGAGTAAACGAATGACTGTAAATAGAGGACTACCTTTGTTACACATTGTACACTTTGCCAAGCTGGTGATTTTTCTTGAAATAGGAAACTTCTCTACATTCACATTCTCAAGATGGACGCACAGATAGATTGAATGGATAGAAACAATGTGGTAAAATAAATTGAAGATACATGTTTCCCAATACATACTGTATTTCATATCCAACACACCTAAGCAAAATAACAGATGGCTCAAGACTTTTTTACCTCTCTGATTTTGGTTTCCAGATTGACACCATGGAAATTATGAGGCACCCTGAGGAAACCACCAACATGAGGAGACAAACTGTGGCTTCCTATTTCAGGGTAGGGAATTTAAATTGTACTACTATAATTTCACTGCTTTCCCAACATCTCATTTAAATAATATTGGCAATATTCCTGGAACATATACAAGGCCTGCCAATAGGGATTCTTTTCAATGGACAAGGCAGGGATGAATGAACATGTCGGCAAATGGCTTAATTATTAAGTAAAATTGAGGAGAGAGAGGTCAAAGGAAAACTCTTAAGGTAAAGCTTGTTTGGCAATGAATAACTGGATAAGAATTAGGCAGATTTTAAAAGGGGTTCAAATATATTTATGAGCCTGTTTTATCTTATTGGAATACCTAGAAAAAGGATGCCTAGATTTTAATTCCCTTCAAAGAAAATGAAACTCTTGTGCTATATTTTATCATGCTTTCCTTTCCTTAGTATTCTCTGATGGATCTGTTGTCTAAAATGGTGATTGGACAACCTCACTTTGTTCGCTGCATTAAGCCCAACGATGACCGAGAAGCATTGAAATTTTCTCAAGAGAGAGTCTTAGTGCAGTTACGCTATACCGGCATTTTAGAGACCGTCAACATACGTCAACAAGGATATTCTCATCGCATTCATTTTGATGAGTTTGTAAAAAGGTAAGCTATCCATGCTTTATACTAAAGAATTATCCTTTAAAATGGCTTTGGAATAGGATTGGAGGCTACGTTATACAGAGCCTTTTCATCAATTCCTAGATTGTAGAAATTCAGAAAAGAGTCAGGGATAGAATTATGCGGCTATGTATGTATCATATTTACATGGCTGCCCAACCCACAAAAATGTGAATCAGGGCTGGAGATATGCGGTCAAAGGAAGATAACATTTTAAAAATATGTTCTTCCTCTTTTATAATGTTAAAAACAGTTTTAGGTGGTTTTGATTAAAAAAAAACCTATATTTGACAATTCTACAAATGGCAAGACACAAATATTGGAAAAGGACAAGTTAAATTTATCAGTTGTATGATGTGTTTTGTGTAGATCAGCTTTGTCTTTCATTAGAACATTTGGCAAATTTTTATCAAGTTTCTTCCTGGTAGGTAGAGAATATATTGATCAGTTAAAATATAACTTCTCTTTTGAATTGAGCAAATCTCCTGGTGAGTTTATGGAGGCATCCACGTAGTTTTCCTGGGTAGTAGATAATATTAGAGAATAGATTTCCACTGCCTTCTACTGTATCTTCTCAAATTTTCCCATTTGTTCCACGAAGGTCTTCCATTGAACCAGGTTCATTTCTACTTTTTATGAAAAATAATTGATATGGCATATAAAATGGAGAAAGAAAAAAATAAGTGACAGAAACCAAATAATCAGAATGGGGGGGGGAGGGGAAAACAAAGTGGGGAAAACTATTCATGAAAACATTTTTAAACAACAGGTTAAATCTTGACTACCTAGCAGTATTGGTGAGACTTTTCACTTTTTCATATGAAACAGATGAGAGTAAATGTATTTCATCAATCCAAGATTTAAAGCAAGTAGTTACAGAATATTTACACTGAAACCATTTTTAGCTGCAAGCCATGCATAATAAATCCAGAATTTTTCATATATTCCATTTTTTATATAAAGCTCAGCCTTACAATAGCATTCTTTTCTTCCCAATCCATAACTTGTGAATATTAAGGTGAAAGGAAACAACTATGGAACAGTCCAATGTCCATGTGATCATACTAACGTTGACCCCTACCTCTTAATAAACACCTTTAAGGCATCCACTAAGAAAAATGCTTCTTTTATTTAGATATAATTAAAGTTTAAGTTGGATATTTAACACTCTTTAAGATCTTAACTCATTGTTATGACACAGAATATTACAACTTCTTGTTCCAATTTTCATGCAAATAACAGGCATCTATCTTCAAAGTACTCTTCAACCAATCAGTTTAGCCACAAACTTGAAGACCTGTTTAATTACCAAGGGCAGACAAAGTCAGGCAGATAGTGTCATCTGCAGAGAGTTGGATGGGTCAGAAGATAGATAATTGAATGACTTCTCAAGAGACATTCAGTGATAATAATCTAGAGAGCTACCATACATCAGAACAATAATATATTTACAGACCAACTATAAGCCTTGGATACATTGGCTGGTAAAGGTTAGTATGAGGTGGAAGAAACATCTCTTTGGCAACAGGAATTCTCCCAGCTCCCAGGGTTGTATCTGGACAGATAATGATATTTAGGTTTAAAGATAATACCTGAATCAGTTGATGTTCCCAAGACTTCAATTTCAAGTTTGAGACATAGGTAGTTTTGGACCTTTCAATTCTAAAGGTCTTTGGGTCTTTGGGAGGACTTTGGGTCAGGTCCCCAGCTACGTTAGTAGCTCTAACATGCTTAATTTCCTTTCATTGAATGCCAAAAATAAATAAATAAATAAATAAAAGCAGCAGCAAATTGCTAGGGAAAAATAGATATTCCCACCTACTTGTACTTACACGGCCCTTTTAACCTTTCAGCTAGGTGGATTCATTTAAATATAATTGTAGTACATGTCTGCAGCTCATGATAGCATATATGATTTATGAGCAACAATTTTGGGGTTTGCCTAAAGCATGTGTGCATCACATTGCCATCACATGATATTTCATGATGTTTTTCCCCCCTAGCCTTTAGACCAGGGGCCAGATGTGTCATGTGCAGGTGGGCATATCCTGCACATGACACATCTGGCCCCTGGCCTAAGGTTAGTGGCTGGATCACAGTTATCCAATGGGCTTCTGGTTGAGTTAGGCTTAACCACAGGTATCCTTTGATTCCATTTTGATATTCTGTCACAATATCCACTTTAACTCATACTATTACGTTAACCAGTTATTGAAATCTGTTTTATGCTATTGCTATTTAATGTCTGTGACCTGATTTTAATTTTAAATAATGGTGTATTTTATTTTTTTATTTTGTTTTGTTTTGTTTTATTATTTTGTTTTAGAATTTCTTGAGAATATGTAAAATATACACATGGCATCATTTCCATGATTTACACTTGTTTTTATGTTGAATTTTACTTCTGTTACATATGCTTGTGCATAAGGAATATATAAAAACATTTCAGAAAAACAGGCTCAGATTCTAAATGCGATGGCACTTCATCCTTTTTTGTTAAATAGGCAAGTATAAACAAGAATTTTGAAATGTCTGTAACACTAAGGATATCAAAGATTTTTCTAAGCCAATGACTTTATATTTTGATCCATTTCAGCAATTTTCCCACAAAATAAATGAAGCTTTTTCCCCTTGATGTTACTTAATGAGTAAGCACATTTCTTAGGAATAGGCAAACTCCTTATCTCTAGTAGCTGCTGTTTTGTAAACCCTTAGCAGGAAAGATGAGTACATAGCACTCAAAGACAGGAAGCAGACAATTAGGGTGAGGTAAATAAAAGCTAAACTTTTGTTTGATGCTTTGCCCATCTGGTTTTCATGTGGTATGAGGCTATTTTATGTGACAAGCCTGGAAATTACTTTGGAAACACAAAATTTAATTGATACAAATTCTCTTAGCCAGTTATGCGCAAAAAATCCTTAATTATTTAAACATGTATTTGGAGTCAACCTTGAAACTTCTTTTCAGTGGCATGTTTCAATCTTAGAGAGTTTGATTTTTGTACCTGAGCATATTCAAGTATAGTTTATATAATAACTAAGTGTGTGAGAAGAGAGCCAGTTTGGTCTAGTGTTTAAGACATCAGGCTAGAAATGGGTGGATCATGAGTTCAAGTCCCACCTTAGACACAAAACCAGGTGGGTGACTTTCAGCTAGTCTCTTTCTCTCAGCCCTAAGAAGGAAGGAAGCTAGCTAGGGAAAACAACTTCTGAAAAAACTTGCCAAGAAAACTTCAGGGACTTGTCCAGGCAGTCTCCAAGAATTGAACAAAAGGGGGGGAAAGTACTTTGAGATTTGGCATTGTCTTCCTACTCATCCAGTTAGACTTCTTGTTGCCTGCTTTACTGTTTGGTGGAAGAAGAAGACAGTTGCAGGCAATAGGCGTTGTCGTGGGACAACAAAAAAATACAAGATATCAAGGGCAGGGCTGCGAGTGCTTTGTGATCATTTCTATATCCTTAAACTAATTTGATGGCCTTAAGGTTGGTAGAAAATACCACCCATAGATTTGAAGTAAGAGTCAACTGCCATGGCAATCAGCAAACTTAAATTTTTAAATCTTCAACTACTCAGAGTCTTTTAGGATTGAGCGATGGGCAGCATATAAGTTCAACAATAAATGAATAAAATCCTTAAATGGAACAGGAAACTCACTGGCTTCTCTTTTGTCTCAGGCAGCAAAGTGTCTTAGATTGAGCAAACTTTCCCCCCCTTATCCAACAATGGACTTCCGGTTTGCACATTGGGCCATTTTTCTCCCTCTCTGAAGCCTCCTGAAGTCTCCAGGGGGGGGAAGGCAGTTTTCACCCTCCCCAGGCTCCTAGAAAGCCATACGCGCATGCTCAGGCCAGCGGGGGCAGTGGTTCACATGCGTATGCACAGGGGGCACAGTGCGGGGAGCATGAAATTATGGGGGTGGGCACATGAGCAAGTGCGATAGCGCGCTCGCTCATACTTTTAGCATTCGAGGTGAAAACGGTTCGCGATCACTGTTATAGACTTTTAAAATGACATATATTTGTCTGTATTGGAATTGATTTACAATGTATGCAGCTGTGGTCGTCTAGCCAGAACAGTGAGAGTTCTTGGGCAGCCTACCATAGATCTTCTTACTTCTTATACCTGACTGCTTCGGAATTCCCCTCTCTATGTTAACTGCCAAACATTTGCTGCAGAAACACAGTAGGGTAGGATGCACTGTCTTTACTCATATAGCTGCACATTCACATACACTGGGCAGCTTATAATTAGGAAACTATGTCACTCTTGGCTATTGAATAACTATCATTATTAAAAAGGACCATCAATTGGAAATTTGGAAAGGTAGTGGCAAGTTTGAGTGACCCTATTCTCTAAAGAATAAATCCTGTGGATCTCTTTAAGTGAGGGCTATGTTCTTTAGGAGTCATTAACATGAATATAACTGAGAACTGAACAATAGTTTTTCACATTGTTTTTGTTTAATGTGGTTAGATGTTGTTCCTAAGGCATTGTTCTCAAAGAAAGGATTGTTACATCATTTTCAAAATGCACTTACCATATTATAGAATAAAGTTAATTAAAAGCAGTGGGACTTACCATTACATAAATCCATGTAGGATGGTGAGTTAAATCATCTATTCCTATCCAGTTCACATAATTTATATATATTTTCTACAGGGATAACATATGTTCAGCTAAATATGCAAATGTCCTTCCTTCCTTCCTTCCTTCCTTCCTTCCTTCCTTCCTTCCTTCCCTCCTTCCTTTCTTACCTACACAAATATTTATTTTGTAAATGGAAAGACCAAATATAGAAAATGAAAACATTTTTTGCACCAGCATTGTATTTTCAGAAGCAGTTTGTTATGCATAAGATCCCTATTTCTTGTTTCATTTTTGTGAAAATGGAAATAGAGGCACTTAGATTTGCATTCCTCCCTTTATTTGTTAATGCTAATGAGACTCATACAAGTGCATCAGGACAAGTCCCATAGCTTTGATCTTGGCTTAAATTTTCCTGGCTTGTGAAATCTCTCAGAAGGGCCATTTATTATAGAACTGAGTGCATATCTTCTGCTGAATGACACTATTCATATGCAAGCAAGTATGTTAAGAGAACATTTACATGATGACAGGTCCATGCAATGTCTTGGGGGAGGGGGCAAGGAGCCCTGCTATCAGGCAGCTGTTAAAAATTCAAGATTTGTGGAGTAGGATAAAGTGATAGGAGAAAACACATTATTAGTTGTGGGAGTGTTAGTAATTACATAATTACTAACATCACCTTTTACAAAGTATAAAACAATTTCTGTTATTTATTCTACTTCCTCGTATCAAAGCAAACTTGTGTTGTGCTTTTTAATGTGATTATTATTTCTTCAGATTTTTTTTATTTAATTAAACAATTAAAAATAAAATGAAGTACTTAAGGTATCTGTAATATAACCATTGTGCCCTAAATGATGACTCTTCAAATAGGAAGGGAATATCTTATTTTACAGAAGATGCTGTCTGTTATGAAGGACTGTCAGGAAAAATGAATTCTTTGGGGAAAGTCCTTGATCCAAGTCTGATTTAATCTCAAAGAATTCTATGAACAGAGAACCAAAGCCTTAATTTTGTCTGAACAGCATCTGAACAATAGAGTGAATTGGCAAACCACTCAAATGATCAGTGTGGTGAAACTACTATAAAGGTAAAGATTTCCCTCGCACATACATGCTAGTCATTCCTGACTCTAGGGGCAGGTGTTCATCTCCATTTCTAAGCCAAAGAGCCAGCGCTGTTTGAAGACGTCAACATGGTCAAGTGGCCAGCATGACTAAACAGCAAAGGCGCACGGAACACTATTACCTTCCCAACAAGGTGGTCCCTATTTTTCTATTTGCATTTTTTACGTGCTTTGGAACTGCTAGGTTGACAGAAGCTGGGACAAGTAACAGGAACTCACTAGGGATTTGAACCACCAAACTGCCGACCTTTCTAATCGACAAGCTCAGTGTCTTAGCTTCTGAGCCACCGCATCCCCATATACAACATTATATTAGAACATTTATTTTATACTTTATTTATTTATCAACACAAAATGCAACACACACACACACACAGTAGTAATTAAGTAATTATAAAGGGGACGTGGTGGCTTAGTGGCTAAAACTCTGAGTTTGCAAATCCAAAAGGTCGGCAGTTTGGCGGTTTGAATCCCTAGTGCCGTGTAATGGAGTGAGCTCCCATTACTTGCCCCAGCTTCTGCCAACCTAGCAGTTCAAAAGCATGGAAAAATGCAAGTAGAAAAATAGGAACCACCTTTGTGCTGATAAATAAATAAAGGGAGACTAGTATAGATCTATTTCAAGCTATTTAGCTCTCATCAGCTAGCCATACGCTCACTGGGATTTGAACCTGGGCTGTTTTTACATGTTAGGCAGTTGTATTAGACACTAAACCACAAGCTCTCCTCCCTTATCAGCTGAGGCAAGGAAATAATCTGGGCATACCAGTGCTTTGACATAACACACACACAGACACACACACACACAGACACAGACACAGACACACACACACACACACTATTTATTCATTTTTGCTATCTTTCTATAGGATACTATATAACTGTTAGCAATCCAAATATCTTGGTGTAGTAAATATTACCTAGAAGGTGGGAAAACGTTTGGCTTCTATAGACCTACTGTCCTTGTTTTATTAAATATGCTTCTTATTTAGGAAATAATTACCACATTTTTATGAAATATTTATGAAATAATAACTCCAATTTTACAATACAATACAATACAATACAATACAATACAACACAACACAACACAACACAACACAACACAACACAACACAACACAACACAATACAATACAATACAATAGCAGAGTTGGAGGGACCTTGGAGGTCTTCTAGCCCAACCCCCTACCTAGGCAGGAAACCCTTNGGTCAAACACAGCCCTGATGCAGCCCTCAATGAAATCGAGTTTGACATTCCTGATCTAAAAGTAGGGAAACATTTCTGACAGTAAGAATCAATGGATTTGTAGATGCTACATCACCGGAAGTTTTCAAAAACAGACTGAATAGCCATTTGACTGGGATGGTATAAGACTTTTACTTTGGACAGGGGATTGGACTGGAAGACCTCTGAGGTCCTTTCCAGCCCAATGATTCCATGATTCTATGAAAACAATTTAATGTCATAAAATTGGGTATAGTCACCTGATGACCCACTTAGCTATCATCCTGACTTACAACCTGTAAGTTATGTTTGAAAGTCAAGGGCAACCTGTAGACTACAACCCTTCACATTTCTTCTAGAACTTTGGAAATGGATAGTTGGAGAGACAGGCATCCTCTCAGCTAGATGCCAGGATAGTTGGATGAGATCTATGGATCACCTGCTAGAAAGCCTGTTCTTAAACTTCCTGTTCAGTGCATGGATGTAATCCTTTTCCTTCAGATAAATTGCTTGGAAACATTCATATTTGAATATATTTATGGTGCTGGAATGCCATAATTTTTGGAAACAAATGTTACTGAATATTTTTCATTCTGCCAGTGCCGTATCTGATAGTAAGAACAGTGCAGATAGACATGGACCAGGTTGATGGCTTATTGCAGATTCCCTAGGGAAGACGTACACTACAAGCTTCTGAACAGATTAATATGAGTGATGATATCCATCCGTCTTATCCTTTGACCTCTTAATATATATTTCTGATATTAAAATGGCTGGGCATTTGTAGGAAGATAGAATTAAATGCCATCTAGCTGTCCCTCTTGTCTACTTCTTCAACAATTCTCTCTTTAATGCTACAGTGTTTATTCTAAATCTAATTATATTCATCAGCCAATAACTACTCTTGCTGGAGATGCTAAGCCTAATGACAGAACCTGCCATGCAAAAAGTCCATAGTTACAAGGAAGGAGCTTCTGAGACAGATTATGATCATTCAACAGGCTGTTCCACTGGGATAGTCCCTGGATGGGAAGGGGGTACAGATCACACTGTGGCACATTTCTCATTCTATAGCCTTTTCCTTTAAGCCAGTATAATTCACAACATATGACTTTGTATTTTTAGCCTGGAGAGGATATGATTCTCGCAAGAAGTTCAAGGATATAAAGAACAAAAGAATTGATGCCGCTATTCATATTCAAGCAGGTAATTAAAACAATATTTTCACAGCTGACACCTATTTTACTGTGGATGATTTCCCATGTCAGTCCCGGTTTCTGATAGGAATAATGTGCAGCCCAGACAAAAGGCTCTTCAGTTATGATCTGTTCAGATGACTGCTTTCACTCTAGTTGACATGCAGTGGATTCAGACAGCCAGGGAAAGTGCTCAATCTGACCACAGTCTACAGAACCAGTTTATAATATAAATCTGTGTTTAATTGCACTGATGACCCAAAACGTTGACTAGTGCTGCCCTTCGGAAAACATCATAATATAATGAATTCTATAGTCGGATTGGAAGAATATGTATGCCCAGATAAATATTTGGACTATAGAGAGTCCTCAACATACAACCATTTGTTTAGTGACTGTCTGAAGTTAGAACAGCTCTGGGAAAAAAAAGTGACTTACAACCAGTTCTTGCACTTATAACCATTGCAATATTCCACATTCCACATGATCAAAATTTAGTTGTTTCACAACTGGCATTGCTTTAGGATGGTTACAGCATCTTGGGGTCATGTGATTTGGCATTAGTGACCTTCCTAGCTAGCTTTCAACATGCAAAGTTAATGTGAGAAGCCATATTCACTTAACAACTGCCTTGATTCGTCTAACAACAATGGCAAAACTCAACAAAACTCATATAACACCTGCCTTGTTTAGCAAAGGAAATTTTGGTCCCAATTGCAACATTAATCTAGGACTACCTGTATTCTGTACTGCCTAGGATTCTCATTCTCTTTGCATGTTTTCTGCTGTTGAAAAAAATACCCTGTAATGTAAAGAATAATGTAGATTTAATGTAAATGTTAAAAGAAAAACAAAACTGTGGTGTAGTTTGGGATTCTTTCCATCATTGCTTTGGCCATGCAAATCTAAGTAGGGCCAAAAGATCTGGGCAGTAGAATTCTTGGCAACTATTAGAATTTTCTGGATCTCTTTGCTGCCGTGCAGATGATCATCCAGAATTTTGCAGCCCAAACTGGGTAGCTTTGCGCTCACAGTTCTGAGAGAAAATTGTTGCAATTCAGTCTTCAGCCACCAAAACCTTGGCCTCCATATTCTATCTAGTGCTTCACCTCTGTCCCATTCAGGCTATTTTGAAGCAAAAGTAAACCTTTTATGAATATTAATATGAATATAACTAAATCAGGTGAAGCCCATTGCTTTGTAACAGACTATCCGCTTGGCTTATAAGAAATCAAGTCATGGCATCTTTAATAAAAGAATCTGTTCTTTTTGGGGGGCTAAGCCCCCCAAAAATATCAGATGTGATGTTTTGACAGTAGAAATCCGGAGTTCAGCCCCAGAACGCTCAGTTAAAAGAATCCAATAATAAGCGTTCTGAATGTGTTTTATCTAAGATTCCAGATAAGGTTTCTTGTCCAACATAGAAATGAGCTAATAGAAAGCAATTTCCTAATTTGAACTATTGGTATGGGAAAGAGAGCCCACAACTTTGAACAGAGAGAAATGTTGCTTTGAACCTGGTGATAAGAAATGTCTTTAAGGATTAAACTAAGCATTATCCAAATCGTAGGAGGTGATATGGGGGAAATCAACTTGGGAGATGGATGGAGAACCAAAATATGCTGAAGGAGACAAAGTGCTTAATCTTTCCCCTCACAGTTGCCTTTGTACTCCAAAATGTCTCCCCAGCTGCTCTTATTTGCATAAGGAGGTTCAGTCTTTTCCCCCCTTGCAAGCGGTTGTTTGATACGGCAGGTGGAAGGAGTGAGATTAGGAAGAAATGAGAGGTTAGGAAAGGGTTAATCACTTCAGGCTTTATTATTTTTTCACCTTAAGGGTTTTTCAGCCCTACAATCTTAAGCAGCTTGACTCCTACAGATAAACTGGGTGAGAAACCAAGCCAGCTTCAGCAACCCCTTTTCTGGAGTTCAATTCCTTCCTCTACTTTGGCTTCAGCAATGACCAGATGTTTAGACTGCCTGTCTAAACATCTGGTCAGCTACTGACTGGTAGATTACTACTCCTATCCATGCTAGAAAAGCAAACACCCATCACTTTCTTTTTTCTGGGTAAGTCTTTGTTGACATGTTGTTTCCCTTGACAGACTTTTTGTACAAACTCTTTCTGGTGACCCCAGAACCATCCTTCCTGTTGCTTTGGCTAGGAAGGAAAAGTAGAATAATCTTGTCAATTTCACTTGGTTGCTTTTAATGTGTAGTGGGAAAAGATGGGGGATCTGGCATCATGTGTCCCTATCTACAAAACAAAGTGAGAGACCTAAATTTGCACTGGGATAAATGGTCATTTGGTTCACCCCTAAATTACTCCCTCTAGATTTTTTTTATAAAAAGATACAAGTTTCCCCCCAATCCCAATGTCACATATTGTCAAAATCTATTTCAAGAATATCTAAGTATTGCATTGTGCCTTTGTCCCTGGGAAGAAAACCACCATAGATAAAGGCAAGTGACTAACTGTTTCTAGAAGTTACTGGAAATTGCGGTAAGAAGTGAAGAGTGAATAGAAATTCTAAAGCCTCACTCCCAGGATTAGTAATAGGAAGCATACACACTTCACCAGGCCCAACCTGAAAAGACTTGATTCTGGTGAATAGGAAAACCTGCTCTCAGAGAAGACCACGTTTTTTCATTTGAATTAAATAGGAAACTCAAATTACCTAAGGAATTCAGCCAAATCATTGGCTCATCTAATGTACCGCTGTTACCAGCTTTCCAGAGTTTCAGGAAGAATTGTTCTAGTCTTACTAGAGACGCCAAGTTGGTCTTCAAGAAAAGGATATCTTCTACCACTGCCTATGACACCACCATCAACCATACAATTTCTTTTTTCCTATCCCTATGTTAAGAAAGATTGAATGAAGCCCACCACAGTAGAGGCTTGTTCATTGAATAAGCCCTTAGATTTGGGCTAGAAATCTATAACTTCTGTCCAGTAGGAGCAACAGATGTTCCAGTTATATCCAAAATTGAGAGTGCACTGTCACATTGATTCATGCAGGCTTTTAAATGGTGTTTTATAAGGATTTTAGAGATTTTCACAAACTGATTCATGTATCTAAGGTATGTGTGATTTTTATGTTTACACACCTCTTCTGACCCCCCCTCTGTACGCTGAGGCACTCCAAGACAAGATTACTGCTAGACAATTTATTCACAGTAAATTAAACACACCGACAAGACTTTGGCAGCAATCCAGACTTCCAAGATAAGAAATATACATGAGAGCTTCTCCAGCGTTGGTATATTAGTTGAATCTTGCAAACAGCCTCCTCCCAAAGTCTTTCCTTATATACTTTCTTGGGTGGAGCCTAATTACAACCACCTGGGTCCAATTGTCTTCTGTATCTGCATAGTTGCTCTCTGCGTTTATCTGCCCGCCTTTGCCTGGCATCCGGGACCAATTCCCTTTGGCTTTCACCGCTGCTCCACCCCTCAGGGACCTCCTAGTGGCCTCTCTGGTCCCTGCTCAGAGCCTGACCCCTGTCCAGGGTCCCCCACATCTTCCAGAGCCGACTCATAGGGCCCCTCACTGTTGGAGTCTGTTTGCAGCTCCATCAGCTCCTGCTGAGCCACTACAACACTTTAGGAGTGCAACACAGTACATTTCTTCTTTTTTTGTTTTGTTTTGTTTTAACACCAGAGAGACTTTTAGTATAGTTTCTCCTTTCTGTCTCCTGTTTGTCTGGAAAAACAGGTAAAAGTTACCGCAAGATGTAGACACAGATATTTTTGAAGTTAGATGCCATGGCATCTGGGCATGTGCCTCCAAATGTGTTTTGGTGGCATCCTGTTTTTACAGAGTCTTTCCTCCCATCGGTGCTTCATAAGGGAAACAGTAATTGATCCAATCTCAGCAAAAAGTCACATGAATTCTGAGACCGTGGCATAGCCGTACTATAAAATGTATATAAAATGCTTGGGGTAGTATCTTTAAATAAATTGAATATATTGGCTGTTGATATATTATGTATACTTGCATCAGAACATAGGAATTCTAAAGAAAATTAAAGTTCTTTCAAAAGTATTCTGGGGGTTACTTTCTTATACAACTAATGAGATGCTTGGTAATTACATTTTAATGTAAAAATGGCACATTTCACTCCAGTTTAGGGCACTGATTTCTGGACAGGGAGATAAAACAAGGCTGTAACATAGACAGCCTATAGCAATGATGCCGAAGCTTTTTGGCACTGAGTGTTGAAAAGGTCACACGGAAACGTTGCATGCATGCCCTCATCAGGGCGGTGCTTTGGAAAATCCGAACCACTGGGTACTAGCACACATGAGTGCCCAATGATCAGATGGCCAGCATGCATGCGCAGGGCGGTTTTCAGCACTGCTGCGCATGTGAAAGAATCATTCTCCAGAAAAGCCAAACTTCTGGGTTGTGGTGCACATGCGCACCCGGCAATCAGCTGGCCGGCATGCATGCGCACACCAGGTTTTGATACTGCTGTGCATGCGAAGGACAGCTAGTCATCACACACACAGGGGCACCAGAAACCTAGAAGACAAATAAGCAAGGCCGTGCGTACCAGACGACATGACTTCATGTGCCACTTTGGGCACGCATGCCATAGGTTTGCCATCATGGGCCTATAGAAAGCACTAAAAAACTGCGTATGAAATTCCATCAGAGTACTTTTATTCTAACTCATGTTATAAAGAGTTATTTCTATTGCTTCAGTGGGAGAGCTGACTTTGAGTGTCAAATCCCTCTTCCTGAAAAATGTTTGGTTGGATACTGTCTACGCTGTGTTTCTGAATCTCTCCATTAAAATCTTTGTTCCTTCTAACCGTATTGGCCATTTTCAGGATATTATTACTCCAGCAATGTGCATCTCAGCTGTTACATTAACAATGTTTGATGCTATAGAAACCCCACCGTGGAAAACGCCTACAAAATATGATCAGGGTTATAACCTAGCCTGCGGGCTTTTGTTTCCCTGAAGAGTTTTGGTTTATTGCCAAGGCATTCGAAGAGTCATCA